GGGGGGGGCGAGTGGAACTAGAGGAAAACTATAAAATCATAATTATTATTATACATTTAATTTAAGACAAACTAGGGGCCACCCTAGAACCCCTTTCAATTCTAAAATGTTTGAGGGGGACTAGAGGAAAACTTTAAAATCAAATTATTTTATACCAATAGTTTTTTTATTTAAGACAAACAAGTAGGGGCAATTGCCCCTTCCTTCCTTGTCCACCCTGCCCTTGGCCCGCCTTGACAAACAGAGGAATTAACTCTTGTATTTTTAACACTTGAGGTATGTAATGAAGAATATCATTGGTTGTTCTTGAAGATTTAGATGCTAGGCTGCTTCATATAGTTCATATTTGTGATCCCCTTGGTTTATTATATATAGGTAGTGGTCATGAAGTCTCTTCTCCAATGCTCATACAACTACAATATTCATATTGAAATCTCAAAACTGTCAGCATTTCATGATGTTTCTCTAGTAGAAGCTCTACACATGTGAAATGACTATCTCATGATTTTCTCTCAAAACATAAATAAAGCTAAAATATGAGGGTCTTGTGTGGTCAAGGCATACTCTTCAGGATATTGGATTCGAAAGAAACTTTTGAAGATATCTAGGGATTATGTTGGCTAGTGGGACAATATCATTTTTCCAGTTCTTCTCGTTGTACTCATTCTAGTTTTTTTCAAATGTAGGGAATGGAAACTAACATTTGTAAATGGCCTATAGCTAAATATTACTTACATTGTGGCTCAAACTGCACTCCAGTAGTTAGCCTCCCCATCTTGCTGACCAGCCATGCACTTTTAGGTAGTTCATCTTTCGCTGCAAAGCATTATGATGACAATACAGAGGTCTCTGACTCATTACTAGAAATTTGGAAAGCTAAAAACAATGATATCCATGAAATTACACTCAATATAGTAGCTCAATACATATATGCACAACAGAGCATCCAGAAAAGAATAAAAGAAGTGCTGTAGGATTTACTAGAATTTCCTTTCCTTTCATGAGGAAAACATTTTGATTTATATTAAAAGATAAATGCATGTGCACTTTTTATATAGAGGGAAACAATTTATTTTTCTACAAGAATACTGAGTACGGACAAATAATACCATTTGCACAAATCAAAACTAAGAACGAGTTTCTCAGTACCATTGTAGTACATTTTCTCTCCTTTCCTAAGGTTAGCATTCTATTTCCTAATCCACTCATTGCGATCAACAGGAAGTAAAGAAAGAACAGAATGGCTGGAGTGCGATCCTCTCGGGGTAGTAATCAATAAATAATAACAGAGATTTACGACCCAAAGGAGGGAACTTGTTCCCACCCTATCAATGCAGCCAAAAACAAATTAAATTTCCACTTACAACCCTATCGACTTGAGGAGGGTTATACTATTTTTTTGGATACTGAGGACAAGAACAGGTAATAGTTATAGGTGCATATATGTGAGATAACTGCATTTGTTATGGTTGGAATATAAGAGATAACTGACACATATATTATCGGACCATACACCCACACCAACACGCTTATCAGAAGGTAACACATTATTTACAGGAGAAAGGCATAAGTGTGACTCCAACAGACAGATTCCTTGAGCCATATCTGAGCCCCATTAGACCAAAGTCCTCAGAACATAATCTGCAGATAGTGAACCATGTCAACATATGCCTTGAGGATGTCCACTAAAGAACTATAGGACACATTAGTCCCAAAAAAGTTGTACGATGTCATGTGTGTGTATATATAGATATTATTAGTGTTGCAAACCTTTTCTTCCGTATGACTGGGAAAATACCAAAAGCTCCAATGCCATATTTGGGGTAGTATGCACATGATCTCATTTGTAAAACCCTGGAGCCATAAGCCAGCATATATAAATCACCATAATGAACAGGGATGCATCAATGTAACCAAGAATAAAATTTGAACTTGAAGGGGTAGTATCTCTTACGGATCAGAGTTTGATACATAGAGGTCCATAAATGTATGGGGATCATCAATGCCACTGTCCAACAAAAAATCTTGTTCTCAAGAAGAAATCAGTAAGAGTCTAATAGGCATCTGTGGGAAGTATAGGCATCACAGAAGATTACCTTTGCCATCGAAACAGTGCATTCCCTATGATCTCCTCAGGTTTATGATCGAGTGGACCTGATACCTAAATAGGTTAAGCAGAAACCACGATCTTTTCGCATCCAATCTACTCAAATAACGTACATTTTTTTCACAAAGGGATAGTAAATTACGGAATTATATATTGAGCTTTTGAAATTTGGCAATGATAACTAATTTGTGAATAATCATATAGCTTCCAAGGGATACAGTTGCGACTAAATCCACGTGAGGGTCATCAATGGGCTTAAGCATGATCACTGTGCTAAAATGCCTTGCCTCATCGAAATATTCCTCGAAAAGACATTTTAAAGCAAGCTTCCCGAATAGCAGATTATATGATGACTCCAACATCCTGCATGTAAATAAAATACGGTTTTTCACAGCATCCCCACACAAAAAAAAACACAACAGTCCGACAAATCAACAATACTCCCAGGCGCTGAAATTGAAATTATTCATTATTTATTCTCACAGACAACGCACAAACCATGGAAACCATTAAATGTCAAGTAAGACTTCAAAAAAAAAAAATTAGTCCAACATGCAGAACTCAGCTTCCCAGTCACATAAGTTGAAAAATGATTATCTGCAGTGTTACGCTCAAGAAACGCCGTGGCATTGCGCATAAATGGTACGGACAGAAGAGAAGGTTAGAAAAAACGTACCTGGTACGAGCAGCAAGCGGAGGATAATCGAAGAGCGGCGGAACGAGAACCATAGGAGGCGGAGGCTCCTTGTTCATCCAATTTCCCATTGCCACTGGGAGTAACGGTAGAATACAGAGAATTGAAGAGAGGATCAAACCGAAGAGAAGGAAGCAGAACGAGGGAAAAGAAGAACAACGAAGATGAAGACGAAGAAGATGAGAGAAGATGAAGAAGACGGTTAGGGAAAGCGGGAGTTGTGAAATGTAGCCCGCGCATCTCACTCGATGTGGAAGAAAGTGTCAAAGCTTTGTAGCCAAGCGGAATCCAGCTACGTGTCGCTCACTGTCCAAAGGTTCGTAAATACATTTCTTGGGTCTCATAAAAACAAATAATAATAAATAAACAAATAATAACAAATAAATAAAAAAATGTATCTTCACAATAAGATAACTAAAAATAATTTAAAGTAAATAAAAGTTACCATTTATACCAACAATGGGCACATTTCTTCTATAGGAACTTCATGTTGGGTGATCTCTTAAGAATTGCTTGTGAGTGAGGGCGATATGTAGTCCAAGCTTACCCTTAGCATATATTGTATGCTTCATTCCGTTACGTACTCTCGTCCGTCTCACGGTTTTAAAACGCGACTGCCCAAGCCTACCGCTAGCGGATAATGTTCACTTTGGGCTGTTACGTATCGCCACCAGTCTCACAATTTCAAAACACGTTTGTTTGGGAGAAGTACCCACACCCTTATAAGAACTTTTTTTTATTCATTTATCATACGTGTGATCTCACAATCCACTCCTTGGGGCTCAATGTCCTTGCTAACACACCGCCTGATGATGACTCTGATACCATTTGTATCCGTTTAAAGCCACCGCTAATAGATATTATCCGTTTTGGTCTATTACATCTCACCGTCAGCCTCACAATTTTGAATCGTGTATGCTAGGGCTATATTTTCACACTTTTAAGAAATATTTCGTCTTCATCTCTAAACGATGTAAGATCTAACATGATAATTGGGTCACTCTCAAGAAAAATGGTAGTGAATAATGAATATGGGGCTGCTAGCTTTAAGTAGTTCCTCACCAATGGCATTCTTCATTTGTTTATTTATATACCCCCAAATACTTGGATTGCTATTAGCCTCCAAATTCCCTTCTCATCGCTGTGGTTTACAAGCCTCCATGTCATCTCTCTTCTGTTTTTTTGTTTGTTTTTTTCTTTCTTTTTGATTTTGCAGCGAGGGAGTCCATCATATAATTTGAAGGTCGATTTGAAAATTTTAGCTCTTT